TTTTCTCTCAATGGGGAGCAGGGTTGGAATGGAGTGAAAACGCATCCTCCCTCCGTCTCCCTGTCCGTCCTCTAAACTGTAGCCTTCATCTGCGTCTTCGGTTTTTCTCCTATGCCACTTTTTTTTTTTTTGTGCCGCGCGGATGCAAATCAAACATTTGGTACCGCATTCAGGGCAGTCTCATGAAAGAAAAACCCACATAAATTTCTACTATTTGTGCGTGGGTGGGTGCCTATGTCTAAGTCTGTGTAAATTGAGCATTAGCGTGTGAGGGAGTTACATTTTCGCTTGTTCTGTGTATGTGTGTGTGTGTGTGTGTGTTGCATGTGTAAGACAGGATGCATGACAACGAGGTGGCACTGGTTAGGGGGGGTCTCTGTCAGCTTTCTCTAATTATGTGTGACATTTCCATGCTGGACCACTGTCAAAAATTCCACAATATTCACACGGAAGTGCACACACAAAGCACGCACACACACACACACACACACACACTCACACACCCCAGCTTAATGATACAGAGTTGTGATTGCCGGCTGCCTGCTATGATAGAACCCCTCCATAGTCCTCCGTAACATAAATCAATGTCAATTACCTCCCCAGAGCACATTAGACACTTTCCATTCCTAGTCGTAATTAGTATGGCCCATAGACATATTCCCATCCCACCACCAAGCTCGCAGTGGAGCTTCTGCACACAAACAATAAAGCCAGGGAATGAGTGCCCGAGTTCAAATACATACCAGCACATCAAATCACACGCATTGTGTCGCATAGAATGCAAGTAATTCACCCGCTCACCCTCTCGTTGCGTTCACACATGCATTAGTATTGTAATTAATTACCGCTGGCCTTGCCATCACAGAGTGCTTCAACGGCTGTGAAAATGAGTTGAAGCAAAGACGCATGCTGCTTGACCTTGGAGAGAGCGTGTGTGTATATGTGTGTGTGTGTGTGTGTGTGTGTGTGTGTGTGTGTGTGGTAGCTCAGATGCGCATGCTTGCCATGTGCTTCCTTGGGAGCATATAGGTTTATGCATGCATAATAAAATTGATGGCAGTGACACAGAGAGTGTGATATTTTTAGACAATAACCTCATATTTCTTTGCGTGCCATCTCTGCGTGCTCTTTCAGCCTCTATCTGTCATGTGACTTTTTTTCCCCCCCCTCCTCGCTTTTCTTTTGCCTATTTTCCTTGGTGTCACACGGCATACCTGACAGGTAAAGGGAGAGGTGGAAGGAGAGAGAAAGCTGGAAGAGGGAAAAAGAAAAAAAAAAGAGGAGAATCCAGCAGGATACCAATCCAACATTCAGTGGCATGAAATGATGAGAGAGAAAGAGAGAGACAGACACTGAATAATTGATAGAGTGGAACGGTGCTCCCAAACCAAATCTTCATGCTCCGAGCACGTTACCTGTTTCCACCGACTGTTTTCAGAAGAGCAGACACATGTTTAGACACACAGCAGTGATTAAAGGCATCAGAATGATATGAGACCACAAAGAGCGGTAAAGCGCTGTTTTAAATAGCGATCGTCCAATCCAGAAACAGCGGTGGTTTACGACCGGCCCTGCTAGCGTCGGCTGAGTACATGACACAGTGGGTTTACAGAAGAGAGAAGACAGCACTGACACACATCTGTGCAGACGCCAGTCACGTGTCTTGGTCTTGGAGGCAGAGAGGAGTCACAAATGTGGTGACTTAGACTCCACTTGACTCCACTTGACAAAGAAAAACATCAATGACTCATGACTTTTCTTGGCTTTTACTAGTTTTATTTGGAGTGACTTGCTACGCTCCCAAAGTCCAAAGATTAGAAGTAATGTAAGAAGTACGGCCACTTAGCTCCTCGTTTTTCTCAACAACGAGTAAATTCTACTCAGGGGCAGCGTGGAAAATGTGTGGACAACTGGAAATGTAGGCTACTTTTCTTCATGATTGTGCCGTTGTTGCTTCTTTTGTTTTGCTCCCAGCGCGTCGTAATGGACAAAGAACTTATTGTAGGTACATGATGCATCTGCAGTCATAAGCTGATGTGGATTCCTGCTGGAGTAGTTTCATCTCTAGTTCAAACCATCCGTTTACCAATCAGGATTCAGCCTAGTTATCACCAAGGGGTGTTGCACTTGTTGGAGGACTGCGAGAAAGTGTGTGGTTGAATTCCCATTATGATCTCGTCTGCATAGAAAGAGAGTGATACAAATGGAAACCAGTGCTTAGACAGATAGATAGATAGATAGATAGATAGATAGATAGATAGATAGATAGATAGATAGATAGACAGATAGATAGATAGATAGATAGATAGATAGATAGATAGATAGATAGATAGATAGATAGATAGATAGATAGATAGATAGATAGATAGATAGATAGATTCATTCAAGCACACATGCATAAAAAACACCCATGAACTGTGGCTACAGTTCCCCGACGCAGCGGTCGTGGGTTCGATTCCCGCTCACGACCCTTTGCTGCAGGTCTCTCCCCATTCTTCTCCCCCATTTCCTGACTGTCTCTACTGCTCTAAACAAAGGCAAAAAGCCCCAAAAAATATATTAAAAAAGAAATTGCAAGTAATCAAAAAAGAAAAGTTCTACAACGGCAGCAGTTTGGGGTTTGTTTTTTAGGAGTTCAGTAGACTTCTGGCCAGGGGGATGGAAGTGTTGCAGAATCTGGATGTTCTGATCTTCACACTGTGAAACCTCCTGCCGGAGTTGAGCAGTGAGAACAGTTTGTGATGTGGATGTGTGGAGTCTCTGATGATGTTATTTGCTCTTGTCAGCGTTTATGCCCAATGTCCTGGATGGAGAGGAGAGAAGTCCCAAAAAGTCCCAATAATCATGTCCTAAACTTGACTTAAGGTCAGGTTTAGGACATGAGACTTGCTAGACTTGATTCCCTAACCCTTGCGTCCACTGCTAACCATGGGTATTGTGACTCGGCCCTTATTTTTTGCTATTTGCTCAGTTTTGCAAACCTGGCAACATCCCAAAAAAGGAGACATCAGATTAGGCACACTCAAACAATCAGTCAGGTATTAAATAAACCACTGGATGAGCTAAACTTTTAGAAAAGAAAATACGGTGCAAACTGTGAAATAATTACCCAAACTGCCCAAACATCCATCACGGTTAACTGATTTCCAGGTTTCGACCTAACATAGTTTTCCTGTGTGCCTCCAAATAAAGTGCTGTGGGTGCTCCGGCTAAACCTTTTACTCCCTGCTGTATTGTCTGTCCGCTTCTTTTTGGCCCGTTTTCTGATACACAGATGAGCCACACATTAAAACCACCCACCTCGCATTGTGTAGGTCCCCTTCGTGCTGCCAAAACAGCTCTTACCCATTGAGGCTGGAGGTGGATACAGGACCTCTGGGGGCGTCCTGTGGTGTCTGGCAATGAGAACGTTCGCGGCGGATCCTTTGGGTCCTGTGGGCTGCGGGGTGGGGCCTCCGTGGATCACACTTGTTCCAGTGTATCCCACAGATGCTTAGTCAGATTGAGATCTGGGGAGTTTGGAGGCCAAGTCAGTGCCTCAGGCTCTTTGTTGTGTTCCTGGATTGCGCATGTTTGCAGCGTGGCGGGGAACATTGTCCTGCTGGGGGAGGCTGCTGCCGTCTGGAAGCGTTTAGGTGGATGGTATGTCAAAGCAAACTCCACATGAATGCCAGGACCCAAGGTTTCTCAGCAGAACATTGCATTGTAGCAAGATGATCAATACGAGTCACTTATAGAAATACTGCATGGCACTTTGTAATGAACCAGAATTATCCATTACCCATGGCAACACGTTCAACATCAAGACCCTACGACTAAGGCTGCCTTTAGATGAAGTGAAAGCTAGACGTGTCCTCACTCCCAAGGTTAGAAATTCTAAAGGACAGAAGTAGTAGAGCAGTCGCACCTCCCCACACACACACACACTCACACACACTCGCAAACACACAAACAAGCAAGTTCCACAAAACCTGGCAGACAAAGACTCCTCTTCCTCAGTCATCTCTGAGGCAGTGGAGTGACCTTCCCTCCTCTGATATGTCACACTCACCTGAGGGCTTTGTATTGTCAAACCACCTGAGGTCTGTGTAGGGGGCAGCTCCTCACTCCCCATGTGTGCTTTGACCGTGTGTGTGTGTGTGTGTGTGTGTCGCAAAAGATGTCACAAAGGTTTCAGAAAAGTTTTATTTTTTTTCTTTCTTCCCGCGTCCTTTAAAATATTCTTCAAGTGCAGTGTTTTTTTTTTTTCCCTCACCGAGGCAACAGCGTTCCTACAAGGTCAGATGAGAGAAGAGATTCTGAAAGGTGGGGACGGACATCTTTTAAGGAATGAATAAGGGAGGACGTGATTAGAGAGAGAGAGGATGCTAAGGAGAAGGAGTGGAGTGGCTGTAAAAAAGATAACATAGGAAAGGGAAGAGGAGGGGGGGGGAGGGAGAGCAGCGGAAGAGAGGAGTTGGGTGAGCAGGTGCAGCGATAGCAGAGGATAATGGATAATATGAGCAAAGGGATGATGGTTCAAATCCTGCTTTTATCCTCTCCCTGAGCTCTGACCCCACCTGGACAATGAGGACAGGAAAGGGGGGACGGCACTGATCCTCTCCAGCCATCAAGGGCAGAAATAAGGCACATCATAAGTGGGGTGAACGGAAGAGAAGCAAGGGCACGGAAGGAGATAAAAAAAAAAGAGGGTAAAGCAGGTGGAGGTTAAAAAGAGACCTTGGACTGGAACAGGGATGAATTGGATACACAATCAGTTCAAGGATGTTCACACCCATATGGCAGAAAGGGTTCATCGGAAAGAAAAAAAATTGGAAAGAAACTCGCACATATGTGACCCTGTCATCTGATCGAGTGGTAGATTGGTGTGTTTACCTTCCCACAGAGCCACCGGACCTTTGTGTTTCAGAAAGCATAATATCATAACGTCTCTTTCCTTACTACCTGTGGAATAACACGTTTTCTCCCCCCCCTTTTCGTTTTTTTTTTTCTCTCGTCAGGCACTTCTTGTTCAAGACGTCGTCAGGGACCACTCCCCTCTTCAGTAGCTCCTCCCCCGGTTACCCTCTGACCTCGGGAACGGTGTACTCTCCGCCTCCTCGCCTGCTACCCAGAAACACCTTCTCCCGCTCAGCCTTCAAGCTAAAGAAGCCGTCCAAGTACTGCAGCTGGAAATGCGCCGCAGTGACAGCCATCGCAGCCGCTGCTCTGCTGGCCATCCTACTGTCCTACTTCATTGGTAAGCGAATATTATTCATGAAGAGGGTTAATTACATTTTAAATGTTCTAATTAGAGGGTTTCTTCTGATGAGGAGTTAAACATATACATATACAGAGAGAGAGAGAGCGAGAGAGAGACAATGAGGTGCTGGAAAGCTCACTAGAATTACGCCTGAATGAATACAAGCGCTGCCACACATAAACAGCTCTTTTATTTCAGGTTGGTTAGTTCTGTTTGTTTTGCGCTGACCTACAATGCGTAAACTTTGAGGGTTTTTTTTTTTTTTTATTCATCCCCCACACCGCAAAGGAAAAAGTGTCAAACTAACAGCCCGCTCTAAACACAAAGCAGATTCAGAAGGCGTGAGCTTTGTCACTTTAGTCTTGTGCTGCACTGTCAAAATCGGCCTCAGCAGGAGCCTTGGCCTCCACTCAGCATCAGCAAACAGCCAGTCAGCGCAGATAGGAAGATGCATAAACCGCAGCATACAGGGACTGTTTCTGTGAGCAGGTATCAGTCAAGGTAGGAATCCTAACAGACCCAGCAGGAAAGTGGATGTTTTTCACTGATCTGAAGCCAACGTGCGATAGTCATACTTAAAGGAACGGCGGATACTCAGAGGAGAGCACTTACCGAGCACATCGGGAAGAGATTCTGATGGCTGTCTGCTGGTGGATCTGTGAGTAGAAAGAGAACGCGTTGCTTAGAGTGTGTGGGAGTGCGAGTGTGGGCATGGATTTTATTCCTTCTTGACCCCGTTCACTGGTCAAGAGAAGGCAGACGTGTGTGTGTGTGTGTGTGTGTGTGTGTGTGTGTGTGTGTGTTTGTGTAGGAAAGAGAGACAATAGGAAGAGGAGTTTATTCCTTCTTGACCCCGTTCACTGGTCAAGAGAAGGCAGACGTGTGTGTGTGTGTGTGTGTGTGTGTGTTTGTGTAGGAAAGAGAGACAATAGGAAGAGGAGGAGCAAAAGAAAAAAAAGAGAGAAAATGTAAGTACGTCTGAATGTGTGTGTGTGTCTGTTTTAGTGTATTCGTGTGTGTGTGGGCAAGGAGGCAGATGTGCCACCGAGCCCCTGATTGGCCTCTTACCCCAGAGACCAGAGTCAACAGATGGGGGGATCTTAGGAAACAGTGGCATCAGCAGAAAGAACAACCCCCTCATCGCCTCTACATACATTATTAATATAATTTTACATTATTTATAAATATATATCTATATATATTTATTTATACATCACCATCCACCTATCCATCCACAGTGAGTTTATATGTGTGCATCCATGCGTGCACGCCGCCCCGCTCAGCCTGGATGTGTCCAAATCGTGCACGCCCGCTCAAATCCGTGCCCGTGTGTGTGAGCGCACGTGTGTGTGTGTTTGTTGCGTTTTGTCGTACCCCCACCGAGTGCCCTTGAGAGTGGTGTGTGTCCTCCGGAGCAGATCAAGGCCCTTTGCCGGCGCCGGACAGCCACATATGGAGCTACAAAACAGGAGTGGGCAGAGGAAGGAAGGCCACAACTACCGCAAAGTGCAAAAAACAGCTCCCCCGTTGATAATCGAGGGCAGGGGTGTATCGGAGCTTAGCAACAGCAGAGAAACCTCACTTTACTCGTCTTTTTTTTACCATCATTTTATCAGCAGTGCTTAGTGACACAAATATTTGTTTTCATCAGAACACATTAATTGTTAAATATAGTTCTAATTAGGAAAGTAATGAAATATGTGTCTGTTTCTAAGACTAATTGCTGCCTCTACTTTTTTTTTTTTTTTTTTACCACAAATCAGTGTTTGTGCACCATTGGGTTACTTGCCAGATGCATACAACTTGTTAACAGCAGGGCCTGTCTGTCTTAATAATTAGTAGTTAGCCACGCTAGGAGATTACTTTATTTATAGGTGTATTTATACAACAGACTTGTAAGGACACTATCCAGAAACAGTGTACTATATTGTGTTCTATTTTTAATAGAATCGAGTAAGGGAGTGAAGCGCGATAGTTCATAATAAGTTTTTCCTTTAAGCTCCTCTTTGTGTGTATTTTTTTTGTGTGTGTTTGTTTTATTATATGCCAAACGTCTGTGCTTTAACACCAAACGTAATTGTCCAGCTGGCTATAATTCAGTAAGCTGAACAAGGCTGAAATTATACTTTATTGTTATTATTACTTTTGCTAACTGTGAGCCCTCTTTTCAGCTGTTATAAGGAAATATTTTCTGCTCTGGTGTTTTGTCTATGGTGAACAGAGCTGTAGCAGTGCTGCCAAGCCTGAAACCCTTGTGTTTACCTAGCTTTTTGTAGCGTTAATCGTGCGGCGAGTTCACTACTCATAAGGGGGATTTTGTGCTACCTTGTTTGTGTGTTACGTGCGCGCGCGTGTGTGTGTGTGTGTGGGCCCGGCACTCACAGGGGGGATTGTGCAGAGCACCCAGAGCCATGCAGCGTGAAGAGGACCCCTCTGAGGCGTCCGCCCAGGAGCCCACTCATAAATTACACCAGGACACATGTGCCTGAACAGCACTTTTCTTTTTGTGCGCGCATGTGTGCGAGTGCCGCAAGAGCAGCCTATATACAATGTGTGCGTGTCTGATTGTGTGGCTTTGAGGGTGCGCTGGCCTTCAAATGTTTGTTTTTTTTTTGTTCTTTCTTATTTTTTGAAGACCATAAATAAAGCCCCAAAAATTGCTTGACAATCTTCGAGAAACACGCACACACAGACATGCATGCGTACACACTGAGAGTCTTTCAGACAGGCAGGACTTTGCATGCTTCAGGAGCACAACCGACAATATCTCTTTGAAGCTTATTTACTATGTCCTGCTGTTAGGATGGAGCCATGGGGATGAGATAAACATGCCCACATAGATATACAAAACGGGCAGAAAAAAAGCATGTGCAGCTGTGAGTCTGTGCATTTCTGTATTCCCTGTTTGTGTTCGTGCGAGTTAGAGAGAGTTTATTTGCGAGGACAGAGAGTTGCATTTTCAGTTAAAGTGTTTTGCTCCAAACTCCAGTGGAGTATGGCCTCCTCTTTACGTGTGAAGGAATGACTGAACGGATGGAGGGAGGAGGATAAACGAGAGTGCTTGTTCTTCATTCCCCCGGCGTCTTGTTTGCTTGCTCCGCATGGAGCAACAGAGCCAAAGGAGAGGTGGTTGCTAGGATACAGGTGAACGGTTGGCATACAGGAGGGAAGACAGGTCCATCATTGTGAATGGCAACCTGAAGAGAGCAAGATAGAGGGAAAAGGAAAGGCATGGAATAGAGTTGGTGCACAGAGGGCAGAGGGGGGACGCAAAGGGGAAAGGAGAAAGTAGGATAGATCACTGGAAAGATGGAGAGGAGGAGGGCTGAGGCTGATATGTCACTGTCAGCACTGTAAGGCGTGAGAGCGCAAGATTGGTGTTTGGAGGGGAATGAGGTCTGTTGTTTGCACTGCCGAGGAGGGAAGGAGAGCTGATGGGGAGGAGGAGCAGGAGTGACAAGACAGCCAGGTGTGGAGAGGAGAAAGTGAGGGGAGGCAGAAGGAGGAGAGATGAAGGAGAGCGTGGCCTCCTGAGGCCTCTGTCGCCTGGAATATCTGTGGGACTAATGTCTCCTAATTGATCACAGCGAGCAGAGAACAGAGGGAGTGTGACAGAGAGACGAAAGGACGGAAAGAATCTGTGGAGGACAAGACCAGGGGAGAGGGGGAGTGATGACAGAGGAAGTTAGAAAGGATACAAAGAGAAGAAGAATGTGGGCCTCGGAGGACGGAAAATGCACGGAAAGAAGTGGGGAAAAGCAGAGCGAGGAAGGAGATGCATTGTGGTTAGAAATGAGAGGAAAGGCTGGTTTGATAGATGAAAGATCGAGGACATGTCAAGCTAGTTGTGTCCAGGTGGACTGTTTTCACATACCCATACATTCACACACACAGACACAGGTGTGCCCTTGACTGCAACGAGTAAACTTGCTAGCGGGCGCTTGTGTCACCTTTGCAGGAGTGGTCCGCGTGAATGTGTGCGTCCGCGCAACTGCTGAATTTGTCGGGCACAGTGGCACACTCCACATGGTATTGTCACCACTGATGAATGAGAGCACGCACACACACTCACGTGCACGCGCGCACACACACACATAGACAAAAGTATTTTTAGTCTTACTCTCAGCTCCCCTGTCTGTTGATTAAACAGACCCACACACACACACACACACACACACACAGATACACTGTCATCGAGTGTGACCTTCATGCCTCTAAGCCGACCACTTTCCATCCATCATTGCTGTCTCGCTGTTCCAGACTGATCACAATCGCTTACTGCCCATTCTTGCCGGTTATAAGTGTCTCACTTCAGTGCATTCATATCACTGTTCCCTTACATAATAACATGTTAATGACTTCCCTGCTCCCAGCTCTGTAGGTTTGCTAAAATAGATAAGATTAATTTACAAGCAAACACACATTGGTATAGTTTTTGTCATTCATCAGAATTTTTTGATTCTTTTTAAAGTTATCTAACGCGCGCCTGGTGTACCGCCAGGAATGGAGAGAAATTATATCAGGTTCCCACACACCACGAGAGGTTAAAAAAGCAACTCGCAGGTGGAATTATTCACTAAATGTATAATTAATAGTTCTTGGAAATGATCGTTTGAAAAGTTAATGCAAGATTTAATATTTTTAAGGGAGAAATTTAGATAAAAAGGAGGCACTTCAAACAGCACCACTAAAAAATGTTCTTTTTTCACAAGGCGCCATATTACGCCACATTATATAGTTCTCTCTGCCTCGGCTCGCTGTGTGGTAGGAGGTGGTAGTGAGATCAAGCGGGTGCGATATAGAAAGTTGATCTTGTTTTTTTTTTTTTTAGTGTTAGAGTGCGCAGGTTGCACAAACTCCAGCCCCGAGCCCACACGTTTCCGAACAGGAGGAGGAACAGAGTTAGCTTTAGTGTCTGGATGCAGGTGAGGAGACGGATTCGCTGCTGGATCTGTGAGGAGAAACTCGGCTGTGTGCGGCGCTCATTTTAGACAGCA